TTCTGACGTATCCTGAAAATTTTATGACAAAATCCGTTCATAACTTTTTCAGTTAGGCTTAACCTGTATGATACAGGCGGTTCCGGCGCGGCGGCGGCGGCAGTGGGGGGGCCAATCAGCCAATCAGCGAGTGTACACAAACCCACAAACCAACACTCAAACACACACCGGTGAAAACATAACCTCCGCCAAGCCCCTGGCGGAGGTAATAATGAACATGCACCACGCGACTGAAACATCAGTGCACTCGCCCCCCCCCCATGCTTCAATCAGTGCTGCCCCAGCCAGCAGGCACGTACACAGCCACGATGTGCGCAGTCACAGCTACAGACAGAAACTTTGTGAATAACACAAGGTTTTATTCAAGTGCAAAGAAAGTAGCCCCCCGAAATTTGAAAAAGTAGCACCGGAAAATTGAAATTTTTTTTCCTGTTGTAGAGTGATCACCAAGTTTGGTCTTTAGAGGTGGGAGGGGGGGGGGTTGCAGACACATGGAGGTCACATTAGTTTGGGTTAAATACTGATTTTACTACAAGGTTCGTTCAGTTGGTATTGTGTACAGGTGCAGTATATTTCAGTGCATGCGTGCGTGTGTGTGCGTGTATGTGTTTGTGTGTGCACGCGTGCGTGCGTGCGTGCATGTGTTTGTGTGCGTGCATGTGCATATGGCATATGTGCGTGTGTGTGTGCGTGCGTGTGTGTGTGTGTGCATGTGTGTGTGTGGTGTGTGTGTGCGTGTGCGTGTGCGTGTGCGTGTGCGTGTGCGTGTGCGTGTGCGTGTGCGTGTGCGTGTGCGCATGTATGCGTGTGCGCATGTATGCGTGTGTGCATATGTGCATATGTGCATGTGTGCATATGTGCATATGTGCGTGTGTGTATTGGCAGTACGTGTTTAACGTTGCTGTGTGTGTGTGCCATACACACAGAGACAGTCCGGATATTCCAAAGTTCGCATACAGAAAGCAAAGTTCAATACGCCAAACCTGGTTTGCGGTTGCGATTTCCGTGCGTGAAGAGTGTCGAAAAGACTGTCCCCCTGCACGATTATTTGCATATCGCCTGACCGTCGGCGCTGTGGTTTTGTTTTTGTATTTTTCGTTTTGCCCGGGTAGGCAGAGGTGGTGGATGAGGAGGAGGACATGGAGGTGAGTGCACGCACGCACGCGTGTGTGGATCGGTAGTGCAGTGCGTAATGGCTGGCAGGCTGGCAGCAGATGCTATATGCACTTTGCGTGAGCGTAGATATGCCTTCTTAGACACCGCTACTGCTCACTTGTTTCGCGTCGACTGCTCACTTGCTTCGCGTCGACTGTTCACTTGTTTCGCGTCGACTGCTCACTTGTTTCGCGCCGACACGCTCGCACAATAGAGGGCTCTCCCTCTGCACTACCTCGACATCCGTCCAAGGACAACCGGGTCGTTCCCGCTTGGCGAGTCGAAGGAAACGGATTTTCTAACGCCGAGGATAGTTTTCAGCTTCAGAGTTTTCATTGCCGGGTGTTAGAGTCTGCACCTTGCGTCACTTCCCAGGATGTGAATGCATGATTCTGAGTGTGTGTCATCCTCGTCGGTAACCAACGACGCTGTCCGCTAACGGGTGTGTGACGGATCACGGGAGTGTCCGTGCCTGGGTTTCAAGCCTTGGTTAAGCTTGCAAAACTCTCTTGCAGTGAGATGATGCCGTGCTTGCTGTGAGTTTGTCTACGTTGGACGAATACGTTTAATTTGCGGAGCGTTTGGTGTTCGTACGACGATGCCTATCGTGATGTGTGTCATATCACAATACGCATTGTCGTGGTGTATCTAGATGCAGCTGTAGATTTGTTTTCTCTTGTGTGTTTTTTGGTATGTACAGTTGGTACGGTACGGTTGTACGTATGGTTGTTACTGATTTCGTACGGCTTGTTGCTTTTGCAGTGCACTGAAACTTCTTCTAATTTTACGCAGCTTTGAAAAGGAACGTAGTGGCAGCAAACTTAATTGATGTGTTAGTTTGTCACTAAAGCTCTTGTTATTGATTGAAAACATTTCATCGGATCTCTATAGTTCACAGGAAAATAAAGTTAATCTGAGTTAGATCCATAATAAAGTTATAAAAACTTACACTGACGAAATTTCGTGTATCTCACCGATAGACTTCTTCAGGTGTATATATAGACCTGAGGAAGTCTATTGGTAAGATAGACGAAAATTTCGTCAGTGTACGTTTTTATAACTTGATTATGGATCTAACTCAGATTAACTTTATTTTCCAGCTATTGTTATTGTTTTCTGTTCGACGTTTTCAAACTTTAGGTGTGGGTCGAAATTCACATGTGATAGTTAGGGGGTAGAGATAGTCAAATATGGCTAGTGTTTGTGCTATCGGTTTGTTCATTTTGCTGTACAGAACGATCCGTTTTGCTGTAACCCAAGCGACCTTTCAAAGTCAAACCAGCCAGTATTCATTTCTATCTTAAACCCTTACCAAGATTACCTAATAGATTTACTCGATTGTTTAGCTGGTTATAGACTAGTTTACTAGTAGCTAGTTTACGTTACCGTGCGTGCAGGGAATGTGGAATATTAGTTTTCCCGCCACTACCCATACGAAATGCTGGCGGTGGAGTACTGAAAGCAAAAAATCTCGTGAGGGTCGCCTCATGATTACAGCATTGGCTCTGGGTGGAAATGTTGCATAAGTTTTTGGGTGTGACAGGGATAAGGCAGTGCTGCAGAGAGAGAAGACACAGCTGTGCGTAACCTGACTGTCGTACTATATAGGTTATTCCTGCGTGCAGCATTTTCTTGGTGAGCAATCACTACAGGTGCCGTTTCCAGTGAAATTTGCTATTGTCTCTCTGTTTGCTATCTACGTCACAGTTCCTCCTAATAGGTTACCTGTGGTGGTGAAATATTAGTCTTAGTAAGTAAAATTTAAAATGTTTTTTGTTGTGGGGGGTCACAGCCCTGGGGGGGGGGGTTGCAGCTAACTGTGGTGCAATGCTTCTCTACCTCCACAAGTTAAGTAATGAGAAGAAAGTTAGGGAAAAAGGTTACGAATCTATTTTGGTCTGTATTACTGTATAAGCCATATTTTTCGCATACAGAATCTGAGATATTTTCGCGAATTCAGACTTGACGGACAATTTCGCAAGTGGTTAATTTGGTTGAATTATGGATTATTCGGTATCATTTGGTATGAATGATTCGCGTGTTGTTATTTTCGCAGTCGGGGACGCGTTCGCGAAATTCACGAAAATTAAACCACCGCGAATTATACAGTGTAAACAGTATGTCTTATTTAGGCATCCGTCATTGGTTTAGAGAAAATGAGAAATCCTTTTAATAAGGGATCACTTCCTTTTATCACCCCTTCCAACAGTTTAATTCAGGCACGTCGAAAAAGGGCCGCATTTACCCATATTATTATATAATGTTATTATTTTATTATTATTCTCATAAAGAGGTAATAACACATCTACTAGCTGTTATAGCACTTAGCTGTAATATTTAATAATAAGCATTATACTATTAGCTCTTGTTCTCATCATAATTTTACATTATTAATTTTTATTCAGTTTTGGTTCACGATTACTTATAGTCGTCATCGTCACCACATATTTCCCAGCGTCACTGATCTCCGTACGTCTCCATCGTTTTATCATTATCATCATCATCATCGTCATCATCATAAGCAGCAGCAGCATCAGCATTATCATCATCGTTATCATATATTTCCCAGCATCACTAATCTCTGCTCATCGTGTTATTATCATCATCATCGTCATCGTCGTCATCATTATCATCATCATCATCATATAATATATGTATCACAATTTTCCCAGCGTTGCCAATCTCCTCGCATCTCGATCATCATCCCCCTCCGTGCGTGCACGCACGACTGACGGCGGCCTCTATCTTCTCTCGCTTGCGCACGACTGACGGCGCCCTCTATCTTCTCTCTCGCTCGCGCACGACTGATGGCGTCCTCTATCTTCTCTCGCTCACGACTGACGGCGCCCTCTATCTCTCGCTCGCTCGCAGGTGTACACGACGAGCGTCGCGCAGCTGGAGTCGCACGTCGCGGCCGATGCGCTGCCGACCTCGCTCGGCGGCCGCCTCGCCGCCAACCACGACGCGTGGACGCGCTACTGCATCCGCCGCAGCGGCGTCGCTCGCGCTGCCGACGACTACTGCGATGTCACGGCCTTCCTCGACGGCAAATTCAACCAGCTCGCGAACATGGACGCGCTGATCGACGACGGCGGCAGCGGCGGCGGCGGCGAGATGCCGTCGGACGTGTCGGGGGAGATGCTCGACGCGGCCGTGACTTCCTCAGAAGTCGGCGGCGGCGGCGCGACGGAGAAGCACGACAGCGAGGAGCGGGAGAAGGAGGTCGCCGTCGAGAAGAACGGCGGCGACGGCGGAGGAGGCGGCCAGGGGGCGCCGCCGGACGCGTACGAGTCGGTTCACCGTGGCGACGGCGGCTACACGATCGAGGACTGCGTAGAGATGGTGCGGGGGAAGAGTCGCGGCGGGCTCTACCGCGAGTACGGCCTGATCCGCGCCGCCGACACCGACGGCACGTTCGAGACGTCGAGGTAACAGCAGCGGCAGCGGCGCTTAATTAATTATTATAATTAATTATTATATTATATTTAATTATTATTATATAAATTGCAATTATAATATTGTAGCAATAAGGTAGTGTTGATATAATTGCGCTATATGATATAATTGTCATCTACTTCATATCCAGGGAATATATATATGTATATACATATATATATATATAAATATATATATATATATATACATAGGTATTATTAGCTCTTTGTACTTTTTTGTGGGTGAGCTTTCATCACCTTTTATGTCCTACAGTAATGCGTAAATTATTGTAACGTTTGGAAAATTGCGTTAACGTTCGGGAAAGACTGTTTGAAGTCCTCAAAACTCTAATGCTAAAATCCTCAAATTTGAGCTGGGCCTTGACAGTATTAATAACACGTTCACTTTAGGCAGGTGGCATGCCCGTAGGTGACACCAACAATGATTAGCAGCTGATGAGATATCATCGGCTGTCGGTAATTTTTGTTCGAGGGCTGCATCTCGGTGCGTTGCCGCGTACGTCGTGCGATAGCACGTTAACGTTTGCGCGTCGCCTCTCTCCGCGTTGCAGGGCGTGCCACAACCTCGTGAAGAACTATTTGTAATCAAGTTCATGTCTAGAGATGTGCGTGTCGTGCTTATAACCATGGTCCTCTGGTGATCATATTGTAATCAGGTTCACGTGTAGAGGTTAGCATGACCTGCTTATAACGATGGTGCCTCTGGTGATCATATTGTAATCAGGCTCACGTGTAGAGGTTAGCATGACCTGCTTATAACGATGGTGCCTCGGGTGATCCTATAGTGATCATCGCCTCTGTCCGTGTTGCAGGGCGCGCCACAACCTGGTAAAGAACCGTTACTCGGACGTGCTCTGCTACGACCACTCGCGCGTTCGTCTCCGTAACGACGGCAACGACGATGACGACGATGCGTCCGACTACATAAACGGCAACTACGTCGACGGCTACAAGCAGAAACACGCCTTCATCTCGACACAGGGTAGGGTAGCGTAGAGCATGTGCGATGCAGGGTAGGGTAGCGTAGAGCATGTGCGATGCAGGGTAGGGTAGCGTAGAGCATGTGCGATGCAGGGTAGGATGGGAGAGCATGCGTGAAGCAGGGTAGGATAGGAGAGCATGCATGATGCAGGGTAGGGTAGGGTAGATCATGCGCAACGCAGGGTAGGGTAGACAATGAACATACCCTATACAAGGTAGAGTAGAGAGTGACCAGTATGTGTATTGCAGTAATTCTGTTTCAAGCAAGTGTGTTGGAGAAGGGATCAATGTGTAAAGGAAGAGAAACACGATGTGGCAGTTCCGTTTAACAGTGGCTTCAGTCCTTCTTTATGCCATTACACCGTGTAATGTAAAGATGCGTTTGCCTCTGCAGGTCCCCTACCGAAAACATTCCCAGACTTTTGGAGGATGATATGGCAAGAACGTGTATTGGTGATTGTCATGACCACAAGGTGTGTTACCTCTTTATTACCTCTTGCTACTTCTTATTACCTCCTTCCATTGATTCATATAAATAAATTGTATATATTGTGGAAAAGTGATAAATTAATTTCATTATTCATTAATTAACTTCAAGCAAACGGTTTATTCAGCGGAATGCTACAACTTTATGCTTCTCTGCGGGGCAGTGTGCCTAGTTTTCTGACCATGAAGACGGTAGCAAGACCCCATTAATTTAAATTAAAAACTATTAAAAGTTCAACGTATCTGAGGATGTGGTCAACTCTTTCCTTGCCATGTGTCATCTGTCACTGCTGTCCCTAACACGTGTCGTCTCTCACATCTGTCTTTGACACCGACATGCCATCAGATAATGCGCACATCACGCGTCTAAAAATTGCCAATATTGAGCATTGCCACATCAAGGATGATGTGGTAATCTCTTTTCTTGCCACGCGTCATCTGTCACTGCTGCCCCTAACACTTGTCATCTCTCACTTCTGTCTTTGACACCGACCGCGTTTAAAAATTGCTGTTGTCGACATGGACCATCGACAGAAACGTTACATAGTGACTTGTACGTTGTACTGTCGAGTTTCTCTCATGCGAAGTGTATAGAGGTCCGGTCTACGAGTAAAAAAGTTGCGTGTTAAAGCCCCGGGCACAACGGATCGTACGAAATTTTGTCGTGGTAGACCCATAAAATATTTGTCGTGGCCAGATCTTGCAACATGCCCGAAATGTATTTCGAGTGGTCACAAGGGCTACGACACATTAAAGATGGTTTGGCGATGGGGACGCGACAGAAAAAAAAAAGATATATGTCGTGGGTGTGTCGCAAGTCAGTACGTAAGTCAGTAGTAGGACAGACTCACGACAACCAGAAGACATAGATACCACAAAAAATCGTGGAACAAAAAAGGTGCTTTTTTTTTACCTTACGACGGCAAGTCGATGCCACGATGTTCAAAATTTCGTAGGACTGTCTTGCGACGACCACCGATGACCCACGATTTGCCCAAATTTTCTGTCGTGTCGTGGCACAAATGCGTCGTGTGTTCGTCGTGTCCGAGGCTTAAGACTAATGTTGGGACTGGTGTTTGAATCTCGTCTCTGGCAACGCGTCGCAGGGGTCCCTTGTCAGAAACAAATTTATTCTAAACATTAGTCTCAGAATTTTCTCGTACCTCACATCTTTTCTACAGAAACGTCGCTTAGTTACGCATACGTTGTAGAGTTTCTCATACACTGTGTATAGAGGTCTGATTTACAGGGAAAAATAATTCTTAACACTAATGTTGGGACTTACTCTCGGTCTACGAGAACAAAGTTACGTGTTAAGACTAATGTTGGGACTTACTCTCGGTCTACGAGAACAAAGTTACGTGTTAAGACTAATGTTGGGACTTGGACTTTCGTCTCCGACGACACGCGCTGCAGGACGATAGAGCGCAGCCGGCTGAAGTGCGGTCAGTACTGGCCGCTGGACGAGGAGATGGGGGAGCAGTGCGGCGACTTTCTCATCATCAACGCCGGCCAGCAGCATCACAAGGACAACATCTTCACGACCCTCGTCGTGCACAACACAAAGGTGAGAGAACAAAGTTGCGTGTTAAGACTAATGTTGGGACTGGTGTTTGAATCTCGCCTCTGGCAACGCGTCGCAGGGGTTCCTTGTCAGAAACAAATTTATTCAGAGACGTTGCGCCCGCCCGAGGCAATCGCATGAGGCGTCCGCCTGCGTAACCGCTGGTGCAAGTTACTGCTGTGTAGCTTGTGGAAGACAGCTGCTCTGCATTGCCATTCTGCCATGCATGCGTATGCTTGAGTTACGCTAGTGTAGGCCCGCCCGGCTATGTTCAGTAGCATTTGTAGTAGTTCTGTGACTATCAACTCGTGACAGATTTCTCTGCGGATCTAGACAATTTCCATGGAACTTTGTTACTGTGATAAATAAGCTAGTCTGTTCTGCGACCGAGATGGTATCAAGATGCGATTAAAATGTAATTGGGTACGGATGTTTTTTCTTCCTCTTTGAGACACAGGCACAGGCTCCCTATTCGAAAATCACCCGCATCCTTGGCTGAAATTTCCACTTAATTTTCTCTACGGTTACATTAATCTTTACAAATAACCAATGTTATTTTATATAAATGATCCATCTAGATTAGTAAATAACGATCAGCCCACAACCTGTTGCCTTCCAAAAAAAAATTCCATTGATAACCCGGCGTCTTCTCTGCAGCGTTCTCTTGTCTTTCTCGGCAGACGGGCGAGTCACGCGAGGTGATGCACTGCCAGTTCACCTGCTGGCCGGACTACGGCGTGCCGCACTCCGCCGCAGTCATGCTCGACTTTCTCTTCCAAGTGCGCGATATTCAGGCGTCGGCCGTGCAGGCGCTGGGCGACGCGTGGACGGGGCACCCGCTCGGACCGCCCATCCTCGTGCACTGCAGCGCCGGCATCGGCCGCACAGGTACGTGATGCGTGCTGTCTATCACAGGTACGTGATGCGTGCTGTCTATCACAGGTACGTGATGCGTGCTGTCTATCACAGGTACGTGATGCGTGCTGTC